TGGCAGCTTCGGTGGAACTCCCAGTGGGTCCACGAACCGTGCGAGGGGCGTACCAGAATGAGCGTGGGGAGGCACGCGGGCGTTGGAACTGCGGCCTTCGGTGAAGCTTCCGACGGGGCCACGAAGCGCGCGTCGAAATGGGCTTGGGGACGCATGCGATGTTTGCCACTGGGCCTTAGTTGGAGCTCCCTATGGGTTGAAGTACCATGTGGGACTGCTCGCAACGGCCGCGATCTGTATTGACGTATACACCCCGAATCCGTCTATAGACGTAACGAGGCCAGAAATATTGGTCTTCTACAACCAGGTAGACTTTGCCCCCAAACCTATGGGCCACGAAACGTGTGATGGGTGCGCCACCATGGGCTGTGGGACCGCGTGCTGCACCCCGCCGGGGAGTCTTAGTTGGAGCTCCCTAGTGGGCCATGATACGTGTGAGGGGTGAGCCGACATGGCTGGGGGACTGTATGCGGTCCTCCCCCCCATGGATCCTTAGGTAGAGCTCCTTCTCTCTGACAGGGTAAAGCAACGTTTGGATTGCGTACCGAAAACGACATGCGGAGGGCAGAGGTAGGGATGGGAGGAAGGAAGGAGGAAGGAGGTGACGCGTGACGCTGTCTCTTCACAGCGAGGACCCAACACCACAGGATGGCTGGAAAAAACCAGCCTGGCGAAGGACCCAATCATATGCAGTTGTGAGTCATGCAGTTGTGAATGTTGTCTTCGGTGGAGCTCCCTATTTGGGCCACGAAGCGTGTGAGAAAAGTACCGAAATGGGCACGGTGAGCGCATGCGAACGCAGCCACTGGGGTCTTTGGGCGAGTTCCCTATGGGGCCACGAAGCGTGTGAGAGGTATGCCGAAATTGGCGGGGCGGACGCATGCGAACGCAGCCATTGGGGCCTTCAGTGGAGCTCCCTCATGGGGCCACGAAGCGTGTGAGTCATGTAACGAAATGGCCGGCGGGGCGGGCGCATGCCAACACCGCTATTGGCGCCTTCGGTGGCGCTCCCTACGGGGCCACGAAGCGTGGGAGTAGTGAGCTGAACACGATTGGGGCGGGCGCATGCAAACGCAGCCGCTGGGACCTCCAGTGGCCTTCCCTATGGGGGCCACGAAAATTCTGGGAACTGTACCGACAGAGGCGGGGCGGGCACATGCCCCGAAGCGTGTGAGGGGTGTGCCGAAAGCAATGCGGCAGGCACATGCGAGCGCTGCCTCTTGGGCCTTCGGTGGGGCTGCCTTTGGGGCCGCGAAGCGTGTGAGGGGGTATGTGCCGACATGGGTGCGGCGGGCGCATGCGGGCGCTGCAGTTGGGGCCTTCGGTGAAGCTCCCTAGGGGAGCAGGGTGTGCCGACATGGGTGCGGCGGGCGCGTGCGGGCGCTGCCTTATGGGCCATCGGTGAGGCCCTCTATGGGGCCACGAAGCGTGTGAGGGGTGTGCCGGCATGGGTGCGGCGGGCGCATGCGTGCGCTTCCTTTTGGCTCTTCGGTGGAGTTCCTCATGGGACCACAAAGCGTGTGAGGGATGTGCCGAAATGGGTACGACGCGCGCGTGCGGGCGCTGCCATTTGGGCCTTCGGTGGAGCCCCCTTATGGGGCCACGAAGCGTATGATGGGTGTGCCGAAATGGGTGCGGCGGGCGCATGCGGACCCTGCCGCTGGGGTCTTGGGTGGATCTCCCTATAAACGACGAAACGTGTGAGAGGTGTGCCGAAGCGAATACGGGTACGCCATGCGGACCCTGCCGCTGAAGTCTTCGGTGGAGCTCCCCCCGGGGCCACGAAACGTGAAGGGGTGAGCCGAGATGGGTGCGGCGGGCGCGTGCGGGCGCTGCGTTTTGCGTCTTCGGTGGAGCCCCCTGTGAGGCCACGAAGCGTGTGAGGGGCGTGCCGAAATGAATGCGGCGGGCGCATGCGGGCGCTGCCTTTTGGGCCTTCGGTGGGGCTGTCGATGGGTCCGCGAAGCGTGTAAGGGCTGTGCCGTCATGAATGCGGCGGGCGCATGCGGGCGCTGCCCATTGGGCCTTCGGTGGGACTCCCTTTGGTGCCACGAAGCGTATGACTGTGCCGAAATCTTGACAGGTGCCATGCAAACGCAGCCATGTGGGCCGTCGGACGGATGCTAAAGGTAATGTCAATGATGATGATGATGATGATGATGATGATGATGATGATGATGATGATGATGATGATGATGATGATGGTGATGATGATGGTGATGATGATGACACGGATAATGATCGTGCTAACGCTGGCCATGCTTATCATAATGATTATGGTGATGATGCTGGTGATGTTGATGGTGCTGATAATGATACGGGTGATAATGATGATGATGATTATGCTGATGCTACTGATGATACTGCTGGTGGTGATGTTTAGGGTGCTCATGATGATGATGGTGATGATGACGATGATGTGGATGATGATGATGAGGAGGAGGATGACTGTGGTGAGAGTGGTGATGATGCTGCTACTGATGCTGGTGCTGGTGCTGATGCTGATGATGCTGCTCGTGATGATTTTTCCCCAGTTCACGCTGAGTTATTTAGGTTACTTGTCGATCGTGTGGGTGAGGGCGACCTCACGCGGTAGACGTGGCAACACTTGACCGCAAGCATGTTGCCAGAGAGAAAGAGCAGCGCACCAGCAGACGATTGGGGGGGGGAGGCAATTACTCGTGAGGCACCCATCTGCTGCGAGGGGTGCCTGGCATCCTCGGCGGCATCGCCTCCGTAACTTGCACAACAGACGAGGAAGGGGGAGGAGGAGGGCGACGAGTGAGCCTGTGCACTATGGCGGGTGATCGGCCAGACCACGCCTCAGACAATACCTGGTGGCGCCTCGCGGTAACCCGCAGGCGTGCCTCGAAGTGCTCAGCAAGGGAGCCAGCACAGGAGAGGCGACGGGCATTGTGGGCGGCTAGGAAAGCATCACAGCATGCAGCACGCAAAAGGCAGATATGAGGAGGTTCGCGGAAGAGGAGGAGGAGGAGACAGAACCAGTACGGTCGTTCGCCATTGGGTCCATGGATCGGTCCAGAATAAAACTCCCAATAAGGGCCCAACCAGAATTTCAGGAGGCTCTGAAACCCAGGGCAGGAACAATAGTGGTCAATCGAGTCCAGGTCTTTCCCAGGGGATGGCGGAACGCACTTAAAGAGACAACCAGCAGCCTGACAGTGAAATCTCGCACTCGTGTTGAAAGAGGCAGTAAGTAACCGTAGTGGGGCAACGCCCATATACATCGAGGTGTCTTTCACAACACTCTTCACATTCAGGCGGAAGTCGGAGATCATCGAGGCTCCAGCTTCTGGAATAAAATACTGGGCACGCCTGAGCAGGATAGATTTGGCCGTCTCCGTGGGGGTAAGCTTGCGGATAAGAGCGTACAGCTTGGATTGGAGGGATTTACTCATGATATCGAAGTTAGGGCTCGGACTGATTCTAGAGTACCAGTTGGACAGACCACGCATATAAGATATGAATGAGTCCTGATGCCAACCACGGAGCCAACGGTATGGGATATGCTCACTATCGTCACGTGCAGACTCAATATCAGCAATAATCTGGGGAAAGGTAGACGAGCGGAGCAAGTACCGAATACACGCCGCCTTCGCCACTGCATGGATGCCCGTGAACTCAACACAAAATCCAATCTCCTTAAATTTGGTGGCGAGGATGTACGACATAGCATTCCTCGGGCCAACAGTCAGAAGCAGCACGCCTTCTTTCAAGATCCTGGTAATGGCCTATGGTGCTGCTCATGATGATGATGATGATGATGATGATGATGATGATGATGATGATGATGATCATGATGATGATGATGATGATGATGATGCTGATGATAATGATGATGATGATGCTGATGATGATGATCATAATCATGATGATGATTGTGATGATGATGGTGATGAACATGGTGGTGATGCTGATGCTGCTGCCGGTGACGATGACGATGATGACGAGGTTGATGACGATGGTGATGCTGACGATGGCGGCGACACTGATGACGATCAGGACGTGCAGAATGCGGAGGGCAGAGGCAGGGAGTGGAGGAGGGAGGAGGGAGAAGGAGGAGGCGAGGAACGCGGGGCCCAGAACCACAAGTAGGTTTGGGATTCCCCTGGCGCAAATCCAAACCGTGTAAAGCGGCGGGTACCGCGAGGCAAATGAGATGAAGCAAGAAGGTAAGAGTGAAGG